CACACACACATCCCTTATTGAAATCCATCATATTCATGGTGAATCAGATAGGAACTCAGAACGTGAAGTAAATATCTATGATAGCAAATTTTACATATTTGGGGAAACATTTGATACAATTTACAATGTAAATAGTAGCATTTATTTTGTACTTTGGAAGGCTAACATAGAGGAGGCCATCCAGTAATATATTCACAGAAAGTCTAGTTTAGCCATCATAATAGCTAGACTATAATTTACACAATAAATTGTCTAATTTATATAAATTTTAAAAATAATGTATATAAGGTTTTTTTGCATGTTTATACCAAGTTGTCAGGATGTAAGTCTCATACATGTAGCATTCATTTAATATGCACAGCAAAGCTAGGATAGTGCCAGTTTGCTTGTTGTGTCAAAGAATGTAAGGGAACCTATGGAAAATATCAAACCCAAGGTCATTCAGCTCCAAACAGGTTGGCGCAGAGCTCACAACAGCCTGGTTCCGGTTCCTCGCTAGTTACTGACAGATTCTCTCTTACTGTGTTTCCCTTAGCTATTGCTAAAGCATTTGATAGTTCTTCATAGTTTAATGCCACAGAATTGAATCCAATTCAGAACTTACTCAATGGCTCCTAGTCCTTTGCAGTAACCTACTGAGGAAATAATAAGGCTTTGATTTGGGTAGGAATTCATTCAAATTATAAGGATTATGCACATAAAACAGGAGAAAACACTGAAAATGAGGGAACAAGAAATATAGTTTTAACATAGAAAATTTGTAGCACAGAAGATCAAAGTTAAGAGAATAATCAATGTGAGATGAAACTGTCAAAAGAGAGACTATTTGAACTGCCCCCAATACAGTGTGGCAGATAGCCATTGACATTTCTGTTCTTGTCTAAGAGCTCAGTGCCACACATATCTCTGCCAGGGGTTGGGGAATAGATAAGAGTTCCCACCCTCAGCAAGCCTGGTAGTAAGTCCAAATGGACTGCAGGCCTACCTCATTGTATTGTGCTTTATTGTATTATACTTCATCAGTACTGCATTGTTTTTCAAATGAAAGCTTTTTCATTAAGATTTTGAAGTAATTTTTAACTAAGCATTTTAAGTAAGTCTGTTAGCACAATTTTTCACCAGTGCGTTGAACGTTTCCCAGTTTCCCAATTCTACGGCATGCCCTCACTCCATGTCTCCGTCACATTTTTATCATCCCTGTAGTATTGCCAGCCTTTTCAAGGACGCTATTGCTTACTTAATAGACTACCATATAGTGTAAATCTAAGTTTCACATGCACTGGGAAACCACAAAACCACGTGACTCATTTCGGTGCTGGAATAGGTGATCACTTAGATTTCTTCAGCTTCTGGAACCTTTGATCTGCTGACAATTGATATTTGTCCCCTAACTGTGATCCCACAGAGCAGATGAGAGACTTGGTTATAGTTATTATTCTGAGTTTGCTCCTTATATAGAAGTCCAGAATATGCCGACTACCACTCAAACACTTAAAGTGGATTAGCACTCCTTCCACTAATCTGCCACCTGAACAAAGGTCCTAACAAAATAGTAGGATGAGTAGAGGCTGCTTTCCCAACTCTATTACCTTAGATTTGATCTGCTGCTATCATTTTTCTGGAAAACAAAATAATGCTATCATTTTTCTGGAAAACAAAGTAATGTATATTATATTTTTCATACCAAATCCTCCCAGCGAATTAAGCATTTACTACCATTCCATCATGGTTTGAATGGTCCTTCTGTGCTTAACAATGGGTGTCCAATTTAACTGAATTTCAAGCAAGATCTGATTGTGAGAACATCGTAGCAGGATATTCATGTGATGGAATCTCTACACTAGTCTTGATGGTGCCTGGAGAGAATTAATTTGCAGATGCCAGGATGTTTGAATTCATATGTATTTTTCATTAGTTGGAAGTCAACTAAAGTAGCAGTGGTATGGTAGGTCACAAAACAAGGCTGAAGAACCAAGGCTCCCAATTTGATTTCGCTTAAGGTTTCGGTGGAAGCAAAATGAGGAAATTATATCCAAAGAAGGCATTTGTGTGGAAGACATTGCTAAAAAAACAACACCTGTTCAGTTCTTAAATTTGTTAAGGTGGTCATGTGCTCAAATATTGCTTTTCTCAATGTATTGTTTTACTTCTTTAATAATATTCTTTTTTTCTCCCCAGCAATTCCTTCAAAATGGAATCTTCCCATAATAAGGCGAAAAATCTTGGTAATGATATTTTGAATATTTCAAGCTTCTGCAGTTACTTACGAAATGGTAAGGAAGAACATTACAGGCACAGATATAATCCGGCCATTTTTGTAGAATACAATATAATGAGTCTTTCTAATACTGGATCTCACTCCAGAGTTTAGAATGATGAATGTGTTTACTAATTGATTTTGTTTGTATTCGTAGAGTTATAGTTTTTTTATTCTGCCTCTCTTTAGATATTTATGAGTCATTTTTATTAAAATAAATAACACGGAAGGCAAGTGGTATGATGAATTCGTCAAATGATCTTTGAAACACCTTAAATTCAGAAACTTTCCAGCAGAGGAAATGTTTGGGTGTTAAATTAAGGTCATCTGTGATTTATTGGGAATTTATAGCATCAAGACCTTTATATCAAGTACTAGATGATCAGAGAATTTTAGAGCTGTTTCAGAATGTTATATGAAGGTGCTCAAATTGTTCTGAGTAACACTTTTATACCAAATGGCCTATCCATCTCTCAAACTTGTTTCTCCCAATAGTCACCATTTCACTAATTCACAATTGTTTCAGTTATTCAAACCAAGGACTTTGGTATTATTTGTCACGTTGCCCTTTCTCTCAAATCTCACATGCAGTCTTTCACTGACCCTGTGGTCCTGCCTTCAAGAGATATCCCAGAATCTATGTCCCTTGCCGGTGTTACCTGCCTTCTCCACGTTACTGTGGTTAGGTGCCATCGAGCTGTTTGTGACCGATTCTCACACTAGCAGGACCTCTCCCTGTTGTGAGCCACCGGGCTTGTCTGGAGTGTCTGGAGGTCCACAGGAGTCTCCTAACCACCTTTCTTGGCTCCTACCCTTGTTTCCTTCCCAGCAACCGGAGGGATCTATTCAAAACCGTGTCAGAACTCCGCTCTTGTGCTTCATGCTTCCTGCCCAGGGTGTTTGCTTTGTTCAGGATAAGAGCACAGCCTTCAGTGGTTGCTCATTCTACATCATCGCATGTCCTGTCTTTCAACTCCTTTCACTCCCTCTTTCCAGCCCCACTTCCCTATTTGTCACTCTTACCCAAACACGGCAGGCCAGTTTTAAAGTCTTTGCATGGACTATTGCCTTGACCTGAAACGCTCTTTGCCCAATTATTCATATCGCTCAACCTATTCCTAGGCCTTCTACCCTTCCCCCAACATAACATTCAGCTGGCCAGGCCTGTCCTCCTTTCTAGGACTCTTGTCCATTTCACTGATTTTGTGTTTGCTGATACTCTTATCACTGATGTACTATCTATCTGTCTTTTTATCATTTTTCACCTGCCCCCTCCTACTAAACTGCAAGTTCCATGATGACTTGTTTGTTTTGTTCTAGGACAGTTTTATCCATGGTTTTCCTCAGTTGCTAGAGCAGTGCCTGTAAGAATGTTAGTTAATATTTTTTTCTGAATTAATGGACAAGTGAATAAATAAATTGGCTCAAAGGGTGATTTAAATCACCCCTCCTATTCTATCTGCATATCTAATGGCATTGTCTAACTGGCATGGATAAAACTCTATAGTAATGACACTTAATTATTGTGGGTTTCATATAAATGCAAAATAAGTAACTCATTGAATTTTCTTAAGCTCCTCTCCCTGTGATGAGAGCAATTGGCTTGTTGGTAGATGAGAGAGAGAGAGATCTGGGGTTGAAGGTCCAACTTTTCCGCGTACCATTTAGGAAACCTTGAGCAAGGTTTCAGTCCTTCAACCCCACAGTTGTGACATTTGTAAATGGAAATGAACTCCTGGACTTGATGTGACTGTTGCCCTAAGTTGAATAGCACGTGATCTCTATCAGCATTTCCCACGGTGGGTAAGACCACCGCTTAGAGGAGCTGGGATGACCAGAACAGGAGCTGCTCACGCACACTTATTCTGGATCATAAGTGGTAGTACACTCGTTTTTTCAATGCCAGGGGGTTGCTGAGCAATTTTCTTCTTTTTCTGAAAATGGGGAGGAAACCCAAGTAAGTGTGAGAGCCTTTGATCTATCTCGACAGTGGGATGACTGGACAGTGGGACATGGTCACCTCTGACAGTGCCCATCTCAGGCTCATTAAATTTTGAGGCAATAGAAAGTAAGCATTTATGGATAGCTCCCAATTGCGGCATGCCTATTATGCTCTAAGGTTTATACTACTGCTTTACATATATTGTCTGTCTTACTATATAAATAACCCTGCACAAGGAGACCAAGTGGCAGAGCAGTTACATTGGGCCGCAAGGTCAGCAGTTTGAAACCACCACTTGCTCCTTGGCAGAAAGATGGGGCTTTCTACTCCCATAGACAGTTACAATCTTGGACACACAGGGGAAGCTCTACCCTGTCCTATCGAGTCACCATGAGTCAGCATGAGCTGGGTGACCGTGAATTTGGTTTTGGTTGGGCACAGTTAGAGAAACCACGTCTGTTTCATCCTTAGAGAAATGAGTTAGCTCATTCACAGACAAACAGTTATTACGTAGAGGAGTCAGGATTGTAGTTCAAACCCCCTACTCTTTCCTGTACATCAGGCAGGTACTCATATTTATGATTATAAGTAATTTTCCTTTTCTGTGTCCCTTGCCGGTGTTACCTGCCTTCTCCATGTTACTGTGGTGGTTAGGTGCCATCGGGCTGTTTGTAGCTAACAGTGTCTTCTTGTCACAGAATGGGACTGTGCCTGGGCTGTCCTTTGTATAGGAGCATCTCAGGAGGTCTTTCTCCTGCAGAGCTGCCGACATGAGTTCCCAGTGCCAACTTCCCCATTAGTGACCACATGCTAGAACACGTGTGCCACCAGGGCGTCCTACTTTCTTCTCAGATAGCCACTATTAGGGCTGTCTACCTTTATTTTCAGGGGTTCCGGTCGCCCAGTGGTGAAAACACTCAACTTCTAATACAAAGGTCAGCCTCTAACTCCGTGTTTGCCCAAGTGGGTGAGACCAGCCCCTGGGGAGTGGGGAGGTGGGTGTGTGTGTGTGTGTGTGTGTGTGTGTGGAACGATCCAAGAGGCTTATAAAAGCAGAAATCTCCACTTTAGTAGTGGTGTGAACTACAGTACAAAACCTTTCATGACCAGGGGAGTACTGAGTTTTTGTCTTACTTATTGTGTTGTGCTGTGTTTTTGTTTTTCCTGAAAAGGGGGTGGTGGGTCAACTGTTTGAGAACCTGTGTTCTAACCAAACCCCAAAGCTGCTCTGTGAGAGAACGAGGGTGGCAGTCTACTTCCATCAAGATTACCCAAGCTAACGCCTCTGGCACCAAGTTGATTTCAATTCATAGTTAGCCTCTATAGCAGCGGTTCTCAACCTGTGGGTCGTGACCCCTTTGGGGGTTGAACAACCCTTTCCCAGGGGTCTCCAGATTCATAACAGTAGCAAAATGACAGTGATGAAGCAGCAGGCCAGCACAGCATGAGGAACTGTATTAAAGGGCCACGGCATTGGGAAGGTTGAAAATCACTAGGCTAGAGGGTTTCTGAGAAGTTTTATTAAACAATTCTACCTTGTTTTATAGGGACCCTATGAGTTGAGCTTAGTTATACATATTTTCAGGGGTTTTATTTCAACTCATAAAAATTTCCAACTTTAGAATTTTTTTGTCTATTAATATCTGTAAGAAGGTTCAAGAATTTAAGACTTGGCATAGTATGAGGGGTGCCCCTCCCCCGCAAACTGGAATTGCACTGGACAGAGGAACTTTCTCAGTGCACATTCTTCCTGCTAGGCGAACATCGCACAACTCTCTCTGAGTTAGTGCACTCAGTGGTGTCACCTTGGAAGGTTCTCCGTGATCACAGTGATTGGTTTTTTTTTTGTTTTTTTGAAAAGCAGTTTCACTCAAGCCTCATTTTTCGTGATAGATGATTTAAGAGAACAGCATGCAGCCGTCAAATTTTTTTCCTGCTCAGGAAAAATGCCGCAGAAACTGTTGTGATGTTGAACACAGCTTACAAGGACAGTGCTATGGGAAAAACTCAAGTGTATGAGTGGCTTTTTTGTTTCTAAAAAAGGTGAAATGTCAATTGATGACAAACCTCATTCGGGACACCTGTCAACTTCCCAAACTGATGAAAATGTCAACAGGTAGTGCAGTTGGAGTTTGTTCCACCAGGTCAAACTGCTAATCCAGCGTTCTATTTAGAGGTTATGAAAAGATTGAGTAACCATGTGCAACAAAAAAGGCCTGATTTATGACAGTGGGGGGACTGGTTTTGCCACCATGACAATGTACCTGTTGGTCACTCAGCCATCTCAGTGAACAGGTCTTTGGCAAAAAACAGCATGTCTCTCTTGTCCCATGCACCTGACTAACTTCTTTGTGTTTCTGCGAATGAAGAGGGACATGGAAGGACAGCAATTAGACCACTTAGAAGAGGTGAAGAAAAAAGGGAGGGAGGTGCTGGCAGCTATCCAAACAGATGAGTTTGAAAAATGTTTCCAAGAATGCAATCGCAGATTTGACACATGTATTGAGTGTAAAGGAGAGTACTTTGAACTTCTTGAGAGTACTTTTTGGTGAAAAAAAATTAAAAATTAAATACATAGCTTTGAAAGAAATTCATTTTTTGTGGGGTACCCCTTGTATAATGCAAAGACAGAAAGGATTTTGAACCAGGTCCAAGGAGACCCAGCTTTCCCTCTGACTTCCCAACCAAATCAGGCTTGAGCAACTCTTGCTATTTCTAGAAAATCTCCTTGGTATTTCAGGTGCAATTTGTAGCATTTTAAAATTCATTTAAGCAAGAAAATTTGTTTTTGTTTGTTGTTAATAATAGGAAGGTCGGTAATAATAGGGGGTGAAACTGAAGGGGAGATTTATTTCACAAAGCCAAAGCCTGAGGAATAAAATAATTCTCGGTGATTTTAGTAATCTAGTGGCTGTTTTAGTGTTTTGGGGTTGACTGAACCCAGTAGGCACTTCTGTCAGCAGCAATGGAAGCTGTGTCCTAGAGAAAGGCCCGGGATATTTTCTTTTTATCTCTCTCACTGCTGTTGCAATTAATTCTTTAACTCCCGGTCATGGCCTGGAAAAGTTGGCTCTCATTGCTCATATTTCTGTCTCCTACCTCATGATGTCAGTAAGTAGTTACAGTTGAGACCAACACTTACTTTTGATGCTGCAGCCACAAGGTCAACAAAACACGAGAGGGAGAACAAAAAGAGGCCAAGAGAAATGGTCTCTGACTTACTGCACTCCTGAAGAAATGGGGGGAAATGACTTAAAAAAGAGTGTTTTATACTCTTCAAAACTTCAGGCACTGTGTTAGACAGGGTTCTCTAGAGAAACAAAACCAGAGTGCTAATAATTTTATAGATATTTATACAGATAGGTAGATAGATAACATGAGAAATAAACAGTTAATTAAATTATAAAGCAGTACAAATGGCTCAGTGCAACTCACTCCCGTGAGACAGTTGTGAGATGCTGGAAGTCCTTCAAGTCTTGAGGGCCACCAGGTAGTCCTCTGTAGATCAATTCAGGCTATCCGGCCACAGGCAGCAAACAGCAAGGCAGGTCACCAACAGTCAGCCAGATGACAGGGTCCGACAGTCCCCAGCTGAAGAGATGTAAATCCCAATGGTGTGGTGAAGCAGGTCTTGAAGGAACCTCAAATTACAGTGGAACCTACAACACTGGACACACGTAAAAGAAAACTTGTGAGGATGATGCAGGACTGGATGGTGTTTTCGTTTTGTTGTACATAGTCGCTATGAGTCGGAACCAACTTGACGGCACCTAACCACGACGACAATATATCTATCTATCTATCTATCTATCTATCTATCTATCTATCTATCTATCTATCTATCATCTATCTATCTATCTATCTATATAATGTTGTTGTTGTTGTTGTTAGGTGCCCTGAAATCATTTCTGCACATAAGCCCTATTTACACCAGACTAGACACTACCCAGTTTTGTGTCATCCATAATGGTTGCCGAGCGTGAGCTGATTGTTGCAGCCAGTGTCAATTCCTCTCGTTGAAGGTCTTCTTTTTTATGGACCCTCCAAACATGATGTCCTTCTCCAGGGAAAGGTGCTTCCTACGAGCATGTCCAAAATACGAAGTCTTCCCATTTCCCCTTTTAAAGCAACCTGCCCATACTTCTAAGACAGATGTGTCTGTTCCTCCTGGAGTCCAGGCTATAGTCAATATTCCTCACCAAGCCCATAATGCAAGGCATCCGCTCCTTTGTGATCTTCTGTGATCCTTGTCCAGCTTTGACATGTAGGTAAGGAGATTTTAAATACCCTGATGTGGGACACACATATTTTTTTACCATGTTAAAGAGGACTTTTATGACAGATGTGCCCGGCGCAATGTAGCATTTGATTTCTTGACTGCTGCTTCCACGGGAGTTGATGATGTAGTCAAGTGAAATGAAATTCTTGCCCACTTCAATAGTTTCAGTGTTTCCTCTGCTCGTCATGGTGAACTCCATTGGTATTTTTTAATTTTCTTTATATTAAGGTACAATTTATACTTAAGTCTGTAGTTTTTGATCTGCATCTGTAAGTGCTTCAACTCCTCTTCACTTTCAGCAAGCACTCATCATATAAATGCGTATATCTATAGCTATGAAATTCAATGAAAAAATATTGACTAATGTTCACTTAAATAGTTAAATAGGACTTCAAGCAGATGTTAATATATCAATTTAAATACATAATTATCATAATAATTTTCAAACCAGCACAAATCCTCACCATTTGTCCTTATCTCACACATTGATTTTTTCATTTGGATGATAATACGCACATTTTCAATGAACAAAATGTCACCTATTGAGTGCTTTTTGGTACAGGGGACTGCAGGACACATGATGGATCAATTTAAATTGACCAAGCTCTAGTTGGCTCTTAAAATTTCACACTGAGCATTAAGCACATAGAGAGCACAATTAAGAGGGCAACCTTAAAAGAAACTCTCTATAACAAAATGAGACGAATACAGTAGTGCTACATCTATTTATAAGAAGCCCTGGTGGCTCTGTAGGGTACATAATGGACTGCCAACCGCAAGGTAGGGAGTTCAAATCCACCTGCGACTCCAAGGGAGAAAGTTATAAGACTTTCTGCTCCTGTAAAGACTGACAGCCTCAGAAATTCAAATGGGGCTGTTCTACTCAGGCATATAGGGTTGCTATACGATGGGATCAACTTGATGCTTGTGGATTAGCATATATATTGATTGGATTTATATAAGTGATGACAAATAAAAGGAATTCTGTCATTTTGTTTTCCCTGTGAAAGACAGACTGATTCATGGCAAGGTAGAATTTCTGGAGTCTTTTTCATATGGAGAAAATTGTAAATTTGATGATAGAGAATATTAGCCATACCATTCGATTGACGTAAAACTCAAAGATAAATTCAAGGTGTAAAGATGAATTTGGTTTGGCACAAATGCTTATTGGTATAAATACCGGGGAAAATTTCTGGATGTTCATGAAAGTTATCCAAGGAGTTTGTACAAAGTATTGATGCTTGCCCCACCCCATCTCCTCAAAATTCCTCTTGATATGATTCTAATGCACAACAAAGGTTGAAAACCATAGGGTTATTGTATCTGTTTTTGATATGTGCTGCCTTTTTGTAGGTGTGAATGAACCCCATATGCCAGAGGCTGACCTCTCGCTTTTGAAGCTCATTTCCTGTTGGAGAGACCAGTCTGTGCAGGTATGATGTAGTTCATGTTCTTGAAGCGTTGGGAGTGTTCCATGCTGCTCTGGTGCATTCATACACCTCTCTACCTAAGAGTATGAATACATACCCTTACTCACGTTTTGTGGAAAAATCCTAAAGCTGGGACAGAGATGGAAAAAAAAGGAAAATAGCATGTGCAAAGATGCTCCCAGGGAATGGAGGAGAGAAGATTACGCTGTCACCGGTCACTTTAGTTTGAGGCAGAATAGTGCATTTGATTTGAATAGATCTCATGACATATTGGTAAATCGGTTTGTGAATTTTGTTACGTGTAATCCTATTCTGAGATTATCTCATCGGTACATTGATTTAGAGAACCAGTTTCTTCGATGACCAATTTTCTTTTAATCCTTTGCATGTTAAAATCTTACTAGATAGCCTTGTACACTGAACAATGACGATGTGGGCATTTATTAGAAGGTGAGTAAAGTTTATGAATTTGACAAATATCCGTGTTCAAGAAGGAAATAAGGAGCCCTCGTGGTGCAGTGGGTTAGCAGTTTGTCTGCTAATCAAAAGGTCAGCTGTTCAAATCTACCATCCACTCCATCAGCGAGGTGATGTGCTTTTGGGAAGACTTCCAGCCTTAGAAATCTTACAGAGCAGTTCGGCTCTGCTCTATCAGGTTGCTATGAGTTGGCATTGACTCAACGGCAGTGGGTGAGAGGAGAATAGCAACACCTCCAATAACAAATTGTTCCATATAAACAGACCAAACCAACTGCTGTGGAGTGAATTCGGAATCACGTTGCTGTGAGGGGTCGTGAAGTCGTGTCTGACTTACAGGGCCTCATGCGCAACAGAACAGAACATTGCCTGACCCTGCACCACCCTCCCAATGTGCGAGCCCATTGTTGTAGCCTCTGTGTTGATCCATCTTGTGGACAGCCTTCTTCTTTTCGCTGCCCCTTCACGTTACCAGTCATGATGTCCTTTCTCCAGAGACAAATCGCTCCTGACAACATGTCCAGAGTATGTAAAATGAAATCTCACATCTTTGTCGCTAACGACCATTCTCACTGTACTTCCTCCCAAATGGATTTGTTTGTTCCTTTGGCAGTCTTTCCATAGTCTTCATATGCTTCACCAGCATCGTAATTCAAGCACATTGACTGACAACTTCAATCTTCTCTCTATGCATCATGATGTTACCTATTGGTCCAGTCGTGAGGAGTTTTGGTCACTTTAAATTGAGGTGCAATCCATAGCTACAATCCTTGATCTTCATAAGCAAGTGCTCTGAGTCCTCCTAACTTTTAGCAAGCAAAGTTGTGTCATCCGTGTAGCACGAGTTGTTAAGAAACCTGCCTCCAGCTTGATGCTTGATTCTCCATATAATCCAGTTTCTCTGGTTCTTTGCTAAGCATACAGAGTGAATAAGTATGGTGAAAGGATGCCACCTTGAATAACAATGTTCCTGATTTTAAATCACGCAGTATTCTCTTATTCTGTTTATTTTTGTACTGCTTTTTGATCTATGTAATAAGTCTGCATAGACACAATGAAGAGTTTTGGAATTCTCCTTCTCAGACTATACACAATTTGTTGTGCTGCACACAGTCAAATGCCTTTGCAAAGACAACAAAACACAAGTAAACATCTTTGTAATATGCTGGTTTTTCAGCCAATATTCACCTGACATCAGCAAGGTATGCTTTGTTCCATGTCCTCTTCTGTACCTGTGCTGAACCTCTGTCAGCTCCCTGTCAACATACTACTCTAAACGTTATTGGATCATCTTCAGCAAAATTTCACTGGCATGTGGTATCAATAATATTGTTCTATAATTTGAGCACTCTGTTGAATCCCCTTTCACTGGAATGAGAACTAATATCGATCTCTTCCAGTCAGTTGGTCAAGTAGCTGCCTTCTGAGTTACCTGGCATAGATGAGTAATTGCTTTCAGCACATCCTCAGCTTACTGAACCATTTCAGTGGTTATTCTATAAGTTCCTAGCACCTCGATTTTGGCTAAAGTTTTCAGTGCAGCTTGAACTTCTTCCTTCAGCACCATTGGTTCTTGATAATGTTACTTCCCAAAACTAATGGAATGCTGACTGTTCATTCTTGGTACAGTGACTCTGTGTATTTTTTCCATCTTCTTTTGCTGCTTCTGCATCATTCAATATTTTGCCCATAGAACCTTTCAAGATTGTATCTCGAGGCTGGAATTTTTCTTGAGTTTTCTTCCTTTTTGATTTTCTAATTCTATGTTTTTGCACATCTCATTTTAATAATTGACTTTGTCTTCTCTAGCTTCCCTTTGAAATTTTCTATTCATCTCTTTAATTTCATCGTTTCTTCCATTTGCCTCAGCTTGTCTACAATTAAGAACAAAGTTCTCAGTCCCATCTGACATCTACTTTGATCTTTACTTGCTTTTCTGTCTTTTTAATGGCTTTCTGCTTTCTCCCTGGAGGATGTTCTTGACGTCCTCCCACAGGTCATCAAGTTTTCTGTCCTTAGTGTCCAAAGCAGCACATCTGTTCTTGAGATGTTCTCAAAATCCAGGTGTGATAGACTCACGGTTGTATTTTGACTCTCATGGACTCATTTTAATATTCTCCAGCTTTACGCTCAACTAAATTATGAGCAATTGAGGGTCTGATTCACAGCTAGCCCCTGGTTTTAACTTATTAACTTTCTCTTCTCCCAGATGTGGTCCTTTTGATTTCTGTGTTTTCTGTCTGCAGAAGTCCATGTGTGCAGCTGCCTTTGGTGTGGTTGAAAAAATGTATTTATTCTGAACAAATCATTGTTCTTGAAAAATTCTATCATGCTATCTCCAGCTTCATTTCTATCACCAAGATCATTATTTCCAATTACTGTTCCTTCTTCTTTGTTTCTAATTTTTATACTTTAATCACCAATAAGTATGAATGTTTTTAAATAAATGTGTATGTCACCAAAGAATCCAATTCCATTTCAGTTTTACCTTTCCTCCTTTTTTTTGCCATTCAGAATAGGTTAAGAATATGGAGAGTTTTAAAAACTGTGACACTTGCCTCGCTCTTAAAAAATTTGTTTGGGGTTTTATTTATTTATATATAATGTTAATTTTCCCCTTTGTTTGCAGAATATAATACTTACAAAGAAGACATACTCTATGTGGTTGCACTGCCAATCGAATACAATAAAATCAGTAACAGTATCCCATTACACATCCCAAAGATGTGGGTTTTCCCCCCTTTCCTGCTTGCTGTTTCCCTCCATTGTTTCCTGTTCCCTCCATCTCTCGCTATCCCTCACACTCCCCCAACCTGGCCTCTTCAATGTTTTTTAATTCTGATTCTTTGGTATGAGAACTATTTTTTTCTTTATTATCCTTTGTAATAGTGATGTCATAAAATATTTGTCTTTATGAGAGTGACTAACTTTCCTTAGTGTAATGTTTTATAATTATTCCATGTGTTAAGGTATTAATAGACTCAATATTGTTTTATAAGGATGCATAATATTTCATTGCACGGATGTACCATAATTTCTTTAACTTTTCCTCTATGGCCAAAGTTTCTGATTGAGTCCATCCTTTTGCTATTACTGAAAGAAACACCAGAATGCATATGCCTGTTCATGTTTTGTTCTTTCTTTAAAAAAAAA